TGGAAAAGGCCTTTAGGACAAGGCCCTTGGACTTAGGTTTTGAGTCTGGATTTTTGGATTTGGTCTGGATTTTGAGCTTGATTGATTGGATTTGAATTATCTAAATCCTTCATGATCATTTAAATGATCATAATTGATTGGATAGGATTGATGTTAGATCAAAGGTATGATATAGGCTGAAGTCTGGATTCTGAACTGGACTGAAATCTGGATTTTGATTAAGGGTTGGATTGAATTGAGATCAGTTTAAATTGGTGTCAGGATTGATTTGAGGTCTGGATTGATCTGGGATCTGGATGGATCCTTAATGACCTCATACAAAAATGAGGTCAACAGCGGGCGGCTGCTAGTAGGCGGGGGTAGCCTTGGCTGGCTCACGGGCAGTTGCATAGGCAGGGCGCAGGCAGCCGCGAGCAGGTGTGCGGGCATCTGGGTAGGTGTGGGTAGTCTCGGGCAGCGCGAGCAGCTCGGGTTTCCGGGTTGACCCACCAACTCGTTGGGTCAACCTGAACTTGATCCGTTTTTCAAACGGGTTGAATCCGGGAACCCAAACACGACCCTTTTTGAAATCGGGTTGGGTTCAACCCGAAATTTATGGGTTGGGTTTTCGTGTTGTGTCAAATATTGATACTCATAATGGGAGGCTTTTTGGGCAAGGAGGGTGGACAATCAAAGGAGGATGGGCAGAGTCATGGGGGGATCTGGTCATATGAGGCGGATGGAAGAAAGGTTGGAGTTATTCCCTCGATACATGAGGGAAACATGGAGGGATCACGACAAATGCTACACTGGAGGAGGAAGAAGTTATTGGGGTGGTGATGATCCTTGGGTGAAAAAGTTGAATATGCGAATACTTGAGGAGAAGAAGAGTGAGAGTTGAAGCTTCTTCCGAGGATAAACAGGTCGACAAAGCGAAACATGTGAATGAAGAGGGCAAATAATTGAGGAGAAGAAGAGTGAGAGTTCAATGAGTGATACACAAGCTTATTCCGAGTATAAACAGATCAATAAAGGGAAAGATGTGAATGAAGAGGGCAAAGAAATAAACTTGCAACGCCAAGCTAATGGTGTTGATCAGGAAATTTATTGTATCAATTTACCTGGAGTAGTGATGCAAGAAAAATTTTGGAAGAGGGCCCCAAATATTTGCAAGCAAAATTAAGACTCTTCCTATAACTTAGAAGATGCACAAATTACTAGAAAAAGATACAAACTACTAAAAGACACAAAAGAACACAAATAAACCACAAATAACTTCACTTTATAATATAAAAGACTTACAAACTTTTGACGACATACAAACGACAAAATAAAGACACAACGACTTTCCTAAACTTGCTTTCTTGAATTGAGAAGAAGGATACAAGTGGGGTGGATTCTTGCGTAGAGAAGGAGGTAAGAAGCCAAGACGAAAAGAAGGAGAAGCTCGCAAGCTTTCCTAGAGGGAAGAAGAAGAGAAGTTGGACAAAGCTCTCAAGCTTTTCCAAAGAAGAAAAACCTCTTAGGTTTTTGTCCCAAAAATCATCATCATCACAAATCTTTTTAAGTCTCAAAACATCTCCTATATATAGGTACAAAAGGGGAGCCAAACATCCACCTAAAACTTCATTTAAAACTAATTAACTAAGGGGAAGAGGAAGGGAAAAAGGCTGTACAAATTCTATCCAAAAATAACTCCCAAAATTCTCACACAGCCCCCAAAATTCTGCACACAGCCCCCCAAAATTCTGCACAGAAAACAGGGAAGAACTCGTGGAATTCCCCCCAAAATAGCCACCAAACAGTATTAAATAAACATATTAGATTTAGGGAAATGAAAGGCCAATAGTGAAATACATCAGCCCCCAAACGGTACAGCAAAATAGAGAAGAAAAGACACGGGAACCAAGCAGCAGCAGTGGAAACCAAGTAGCAGCCATGGGAACCAAACAACAGCCACGGGAACCAAGCAGCAATCACGGGAACCAAGCAGAAACTCCACGGAACCAGGAAGAAAATCCACGGAACCAAGCAGCCAGCCGCAGGAACCAAGTAGTCAGCGGCAGAAACCAAAGGGGTAAGGCACAGAAACCCAGCAGCCATCCACGGGAACCAAAGGGCCAAGCACGGGGAAACCAGCAGCCATCCATGGGAACCAAAGGGCCAAAATCCACCATAATGAGCTTCCACTAAACTTACATAAATGAGCTAAACTTTAGCTCATTATGAGCTAACCAAGAGCTCAAAATTAATGAGCTAGGAAGTGCAATAAATCCCCCAATCATTAAGGTAAACTTTAGCTCAAACATTTATGAGCTAGAACTAATTAAAATTCCAGCATTTTGAGCTAAATACCAAGCAACCAAGGCTTACTCGAGAACACCAGAAGCCCAAGGGTCAAAACAAATTCTCATCTTGTTTTGACCCCCCCTTGTCTACATCAGACTCCCCTACTTGAAAAACTCATATCCCGATAAGTTGTCTTTTGATTTGATCCGAGGAGACGGTGGGAGTGCATCTAACTCTTGAATCTTAGCTTCGAATTTCTTCAGGATTTCTTCTTTTTCTTTCTCGAATTGGTCTTGAAGAAACTTCTTCTTTTTCTCGAATTTCTCATCAAATAAGAACATTAGATATTAGATTTTATACAACTTATTTTTAGCGGATCTGTTGAATCATCTTCTATTGGAATCCACCTGTTTATTGGAAGAGGGACCTCAAGATCTTCTGGCTTGTTTTCTTCCACCACTGGATTACTTGGTTGATTTTGATTTTCCATTTTCTCTAAACACTTAAAAAAAAACAAAGACACAAAAAGAGAGACCTAGGAAGACACAAACCTAGGCTCACAAGACACAACAAACCACGCGACAATCCGAGATTTGCTAACCCGCTCTGATACCAAATTTGATGCAAGCAAAAATTTGGGAGAGGGCCCCAAGCCCCAAAGTTTTGCAAGCAAAATTAAGACTATTCCTATAACTTAGAAGATGCACAAATTACTAGAAAAAGATACAAATACTAAAAGACACAAAAGAACACAAATAAACTACAAATAACTTCACTTTATAATATAAAAGACTTACAAATTTTTGATGACATACAAACGACAAAATAAAGACACAACGACTTTCCTAAACTTGCTTTCTTGGTTTGAGAAGAATGATACAAGTGGGGTGGATTCTTGCATAGAGAAGAAGGAGGTAAGAAGCCAAGACAAAAAGAAGGAGAAGCTCGCAAGCTTTCCTAGGAATTTTTATTGCCTCAGGTAACCTGACGCATCTCTATGTTCGGTATCGCTTCAAATCGCGACATCTGGCTGCTCTATTACCTCTTATATGACCCGACGACAGCCCATATGCTTTAGCACGTTTTTTAAAATATTTCGGGTTGGCCCGTCGTAATGTATATGAAATGGACGGGAAACTAAAAAAAGTACGCGGCTTTTACCTCAGGTATAATAACCTTTTCTATATTAAACATAAGATGTTCTACAGTCTTTACGGTTCATATAATTCTCATATACTTAACGTAAAGAAATCGTGAAGTATTTGAGGAGATGGAAGGATCGAATGAAAGTTTTGCTTTTGAAGACTTCGAAGATTACGAGGAAACTCCGACGTTAAACTTTGATCAAGCTTTTTCTGATCTAATAGTAGTAAGTTATTATCTATATTGTTTGTTTTTTTTACTTTTTTACTGTTTCATTACTGGGTATCAAACGTTGGTTTTAGTATTAACGATCATTATTCAGTATGAAGTTCTTATTAGCTCGGTATTAGGTCAGTATTCATTATTATATATCGGTATACGGTCGGTACTGATTATAATAGCCGAGCTAATAAATAGTAATACGTCGTATTGCCGATCATTCAACCTCGGTATAAGCTTGATTTAATGTCCGGATTGATATTAATCTAACTTTGGTTGTAGTAGTACCGATCATTACTCGGTATGAACTCCTCCTTAGCTCGGTATAAGGTCGGTATTCATTATTCTAGATCGGTATACGGTCGGTACTGATTATAATAGCTCAGTATAAACTCGGTGCACAGTTGTACCGAGCTAATACCGAGATATTTTTTATTGCTTGTTTTTAATGTCCGGATTGATATTTAGATTTAAAGCTAATATGGATGTATGAATATTTCTTATGGTGTTTACAATTCTGAGAATGAATCATATGAAAAATATTACCAGTACGCGCATTCAACTGGATTTAGTGTTCGGAAAGATCATCACCATTTTTGGCCAAATACAAGGAAAATCAAATTAAAGGATTTTGTGTGTTCTAAATCAGGTTTCAAGAAGGAGAATGAGAGTGGTACTATGGTAAAATATCGAAGATCATGTACAAGAACAGGATGTCCAGCCATGGTTAGATTTTCGATGAGTCAAGATGGGGTTTGGGCAGTGAATAAATCTGTAGAAAGTCACAATCACGAACTGGCTAGGCCAAATGATCAACATTTGCTCAGGTCATCTAGGAGCATTAGTGATGATAATGCAGCTGTTTTGAAATCTATGTTAGAAGTAGGGATAAGAACTGTCGATGCATTTACATACCTATCTGATGAAGTTGGAGGTGTGAGTAATCTTGGATTCACGAAACAGGATGCGTACAACTACATCCAAAAAGAAAGAATAGCCAAGATCGAGACTGGAGACACTAATTCACTGATCAAGTTGTTTAAAGAACGGACAATTGATGACAACATGTTTGCTTGGGATGTTGAAACTGATGAAGATGGGTGTTTGTTAATTTTCTTCTGGGTTGATGGTCTTGGCAGAAATGATTATGACTGTTTTGGGGATGTGATTATATTCGATACTAGTTATCGTTTAAATAAATATAACTTAGCTTGTGCCCCAATTGTCGGAGTGAATAATCACTGGCAATTATATTTTGAATGATAGTAGAACATTTTTCCAGTGATTATTCACTCCGACAATTGGATCATGGAATTCCCCCCAAAATTCTGCACAGAAAACAGGGAAGAACTCATGGAATTCCCCCCAAAATAGCCACCAAATAGCATTAAATAAACCTAGTAGATTTAGGGAAATGAAAGGCCAATAGTGAAATACATCAGCCCCCAAACGGTACAACAAAACAGAGAAGAAAAGCCACGGGAACCAAACAGCAGCCGCGGAAACCAAGCAGCAGCCGCGGGAACCAAACAGCAGCCACGGGAACCAAGCAACAATCACGGGAACCAAGCAGAAAATCCATGGAACCAAGTAGCCAGCCGCAAGAACTAAGCAGTCAGCTGCAGAAACCAAAGGGGCAAGGCACAGGAAACCCAGTAGCCATCCACGGGAACCAAAGGACCAAGCACGGGAAAACCAGCAGCCATCCACGGGAACCAAAGGGCCAAAAACTGTGAGGCACATATAAGGATGGATAGAACATAGACATGGTGACATGGCCAATTTTGTAAAATATAAGAGACACTACAACCGAGAATGGTTAATAACCATACGTTCCTGCATATATACATTTTAATATCATATAATCTCTTTGATTACTAAAAGAATACGTTTATACAAGAAATATAGTTTTATTTTACTGTCATATTGGTAAACATAAAACTTAGGAATGTGTCAGGTGATAAGGATATTGAGAAAATGAAAGAGAGGAAAGATGAAAGAGAATATAAATTAATATTGATCTGAGATATAGCCATGTTAGAGTGGCATAAAACGGATTCAATTGATCTCCAGCACGTGTTAATTGTCATGCTCAAGAGCCATTAAAGAATTGCTGAATTTTCTTTTTTTGGCTAAATTGAAAGATAGAGATATCACCATGGTACAATTGAATGGTTTTTTTTTTTTTCCAGCTTGATATAGAGAACAGCTCGGCACAGCAAATCTGGCAAGAAGTCGAGTTTTTCTTTGGTAAGTGGGTGAGAAATGCTATCCTGCTTTGTTATTGTCCTGAGATCATATAATTGCACAATCGTTTCATGTATTTGTGGTCCCACAGTTAATGAGCTCAACAGTTATTTTTCCACCCCATTATGGTTGAGTTCTTGTTTTTTGAGATACTATATTATGATGCCTTGTGGGAATAAGAGGAAAAGAGGCGTCCTTGAATAGCTTTTTTTCATTCAATCAATAATGATCTCAATCTAGCCCTAGGGTTCTCATTTATAATGAAAAGAACCCGAGGATTTCAAGTATAAAGCAACAAGAAAAATATGGAAGTAAAGCTTTGCAAAAGTAAAATAATAAGGTATAAAACAAACTTGAGTAAATAGAAGTAGTAGGGTAGAAAATAAAACCCAGTGAAACAAATCAAAATTGTCATTAAATAGATATGTCTAAATAATCAGGTAAGCATTTAATCAATCAACTCATCTTTAGTGAATATAAGTTTGGATAGACGAATCAAGTATAAGGAACTCTCATCTCGAGAGTAAAGTTGAAGATACTCATCCAGAATGTTGGGACTTGAGATAGATGCATTTTAACTCTTCATGAGTCAACCAGTAGTTGTCTGATGTTGGATGGGCTATCGTCCATCAAACAAATAACATCGCTTAACTAAAGAATCCAAAATAACCTCATTATGTGATAGAATTTGTTCAACATATGAGGCTGGGGCTGGTGGTAAATTGTATCTGGTGCTGCTGGTGAGGATAAGAAAACTCCACTCGCAAAGATACTTGTTTTAAGCTTCAGAGGCTCAAAAGTACTATACATGGCATTAAGTCCTTAGCATTGAAAGTAGGGCTACTATTCATATCAGCAAGCAAATTAATACTATGTGCATTTGATCAAGTTTTCTGAGTGCTTTAGCTAAGGTATCAAGTTTTGCTAAATATGTTGTTCAGGAAACATTTAAGGAGAATTGAAATAACACATAATCAACCATCATTATATTAATGATTTTCCATGAATATCTATCATAATTTTATACTTTTCATTTTGCAAATCAATTTGTGCTTAATATCAAAATATAATTTATGCACATGTGGCAAAATCATAATATGTATGCATGAGTAATGGGTATGAGATCTATACGCTTCGCAGGTTGCTACCTGTGCACCACTTTAAACATTGATTTTTTAGTGGTAGTTTTGATAATTGTTGGAACAAATTCAACCATAGATATGATAATCTCACTTCCCTAAACTATTGCAATTTGATAGTGTAGCAATTTTCATAAATTATGTACAACTTTTATTTGGGCATCTTTCAATGAATGAAAATCAGATGAAAATTTTAGTTGTCATAACAAGATTTAATAATGTTATAGAACTGACTAAACTTGCATCTTGATCAAATACATTTCAAGCCAGAAGGCCATGTTGGATAAAAATTTTCGTATGGAACAACTTGGCTATAGGAGATGCATTAAATATTTCAAAAAAGGGAATAAAATGTGTCTTTTTAGAGAAATTATCAGCTATAGCTAATATGTAATCATGACCATGACCGGCTTGGCAATTGTAATATGAAATCCATGATGTTGTCTTGCCATGTCTTATTAGGCACTAATAGGGGAGAATATAGACTTGAAGTTTACATATCTACTTTTCTTATTGATAAGTTAGACAATGAGTTGCTATTCTATCAGCATCTTTTTTAAGTAGAGGGCCAATATAATCTTTTCTTTTATCCAATAAATAGTATTATCACAACATACACGACAACTAAGCCTCTCACATATAGCTCAAAAATTAATACATAATCTTATTGAAGAAGTAGTGCTGCTAATGTCATGAAGCTTGTACTATAACATATAACTCATTGTTACAAGTGGAATACTTTTGCGTTGAATCATTGAGCTTCTTGAAAAGTAAGCAACGAGTTGATTTTTGTGACTTAGTAAATTGCCATTTCTACACCAGATGCATCATAATATTTTGAATTGGAAGTTTTGGCATGGTGTTCTTTGTTGATCTTCGTATGCACTTCATTATTGAATCCAAGTATGCATGATGAGAATGACGTTCAAATGATGCGATGTCAGTTGCATATCAAGCCCTAATGCCTCGTCAATGGTCAACTTTGTGCGTAATGAGATTTAAAGCACCTAGATTGTACTTACAATCACTCAAACTTTATTAGTTTGTGGAACAGATCACACTGACACATTCATAATGTTGAATTTACCAAAGAAGAGCTGCTTGCGCACGACTCGATCGAAAAATGGTGAAAACAACATTCTATGGGATCAGTGCTGCACAAAAATATCAAATATTATCTGACGGCAAAAAAGATTGTTTTGTTACACTTGAAACATTAAATTTGCCAAGGGAGGACCTCTTGCGATTAATTCAGACGAAGTCATTGGAAAACAATAGATTACAAATACAACTTTGCACAATGTCACTTGAACGAAGATCGTCGAACGTTGTTCGTTCGTGAAACGAATATCGTCATTTTGTCCTGAATGTCACATATACTCGAGGAGAACTAGTAAAATGTGACTCAAGTAACCGTGATTGAAAGCAATAGTCTACGGGCACGACATTTGGTGGTGAAACATACTTTTTCGTTGCACGAAACATCAAAATTATTGGTAACGATACCCATATTTCTTGGGTTATTGCTCAAGTGAAAAAGGTGAAATATACTGGCACGTGAGATGATGGCATGCAAAATGAGTTGCACAGGAAACGAGGAGTTATGCAAGAGGTTGACATATATCTATTATGACTATTTATAGTTAAACTATAATATAAATACAACCTTCCTTATCTCTTATCCTATTCTTATCCTATGCAAAAATCAATTCCTCCTTATATCCTACAATTCAATGCTACAGTTTGTAACACACCGGAAAATCATCTATACACGTTTTTTTTTAAGCCTGGTGGGAGGGAGCCCAGTATAGCGTTTGCGGTGAGGCGAGTAGGTCTTATACAATCTCTTGTAGCGTGATGAGGACAATCCTAAGTATCCATGCACATTCTTTTATACCTATGGTAAAAAAACTGTTCATTTCAAACAGGTAATTAGAAGACCAATACACGCTCTTGTAGGGTGGTGGGATTCATAACCATGGTTGCATGTGTCGCCCGACACCTACCATACACATTTTTTGTATCGTGGTGGGATGGTCCATCACCCTAAAATTCTCCTAAATGAGGGATATGCTGAGAGGATGCTGAATTTTCAGTAAACGTAGGACTTGAATTGAACAAAACTACAGAGGACTTAAATGAACTACAAGGAACAAAAATAAATTAGCAAGGAACTGGACTTTAAATTGACAAATGCACAACCATAATGAAAATACAAGTGTTGGACAATAGTTTGAGTAATCTAAATGTAAATCAACGAACAAGCAAGGGCAATTGGTGTACAAACTCTCAAATGCACACAACTGAGGAACAATGAAATTAAAGCAACTTGTAATATTCAATCAAGTCAATATGCAAGTAAGGGAAAGTGACTCGTAGACTCCACAAGGGAGGAGTCTTTGATGAATACACTGATTTACTATAAAAGCATTAAGCTCATGATGGGTGTGGCCCTCCAAAGCTGACATACCAATCAACATACAAGCATTAAGCTCAGATTGGTGATGAACACAGCTCACTTGGCAGTCAGCATCAATGTACAAATGTACATAGTACAACATGCAACAAATAAAAATATTTACTAGCAATGGTGAAAGACTTATTATATACACAATAGTTTGCATACGAGCGATAACAAGCAACACACAGTGAATGCTCTGGCATCCCTATAATCAATGTTCATCCATTTGCAAACAAATGTGGCAACCTGCTTGCTAGCAATAATGGTAAATAAGCTGCAAGTGTGATGGATCTTTTGTGAACATGAACAAGAAGATTGCAATGAGCGAAACATACTGTCTACTGTCAAAAGAAACGACCTGTGACAAATGCAAGAATCTATGAGCCATTGTAGGAGATTCATCATGAACATGGCGGTTTGTCCACAAGCTAAACTGGTGATTTCTAGATCTCTGTTGACAACCCACAAACAAGTTCAATAAAGTTCGTATAGCACGACATCTTGTCTACAAGAAGCAACAAGCGGCCCCTAGCAAAACGCTACGATTCACCTGGAAGCAAAAGCAGGGAATTAGTAGTAAAAACCGTAGGCCACTGGTAAACTTAGGTAATAGATTTGCAGCGTCTTGCTGTTACACAAGATAAATCAGCCCACTTGCAAATAATAGGTGGAAGGCTCTTGATGCGACGTGTAGCTCATTTGTAATCAGAAGTACAGTACTGCAAGCTAAGTGCTAAAGAAAATGACAACAAGCAGAAGGCAAAACAAGCAAAATCATGCTGCCGAAGAATGGCAAATGAAACCTAACGTGTTGCTAAATAATGCCACCGGATAAACAACATTCTTATAAGCAGATAGGTGTTCACCGATTCTTCAAGAAAGCTCGTGCATCTTTCAAATGATCACTACTTCCCAACAAGAGTTTAGTGCTGCACGACAGCCTACCTACAATAAGCAGCAGACAACACATAGTGCAATCTCATGTCATCGGATCCGTAACATTCGTATAAGCAGACAGAAGACATTCACCAATTCTTCATGAAAGCTCGTGCATCTTTTAAATGATCACTACTTTCTAACAAGAGTTTAGTGCTGCACGTCAACCTACCTAAAATAAGCAACGAGTAATCCATAGCGTAGGGCTATGCCATCGAATCTGCAATACATACAAGTGTACAGAAGGTGTCTACAGGCTTCTAAATAGAATGTTGTAAACACTCAAATGACAATCATTTGCACAACTGATTAGTGTCAAACAATTTAAAATGTTCTCCCACATGCATTGCAATAAGCATAATGTTTCATTCAAGCATGACATCCAACATCACATTGACATGCAAATACATTATACATTACAAAAATATATTAAACTACCACAAAAGGGGTTATGCAAGTATGTAGAAAACACATAAATGCATCCTACAAGTATATAATGCCAATCTTATTCATGCATCATATCAATCATACAAACACAACATTTCATACAAATGCTTTAGGATATAAGTATGATATGTATCATGCAAATCATATCAAGTATACTGATCATTATGCAAATACGAATACCCACATGGGTCTTGATGGGCATTATGTATGTATACATGTGACGTCTGAGGATGTTGTGCGTGTCAAGAAATAAACTTAAATTCGAGCCCGATCCTTATATATGAATAGATATGAGTCAACACGGTTCGAATAATCAAACAAATATATGGTCACGATGTCTATTGACATATTTATTTTATACGTTCATATAAGGCCTTCAAAGCCTATAATAAGAAAAATTCATTAATAAAGACATAAAGTCGATGCCGAACCCGATCCTTTGTTGGCAAGTAAACATAGTCGAAAATATTCGACCAATAAAATTAAATTATTTATATTATATCGATGATGGTCATGTTGACAGAAGATCTCAATCGAAGGGAACCTCAGACATTCAAAATGCCTCTACTTTCTCATAAAATATGTTCAGCTGGCTTTAACGTATTCATGAACGATTTTAATATTTAAAATTGAAATAAAATACCTAAAAACTTAAAGCAAAATACCCATCCATCCTTCGCAATTGTTTGTTGAGGTGGACAAATTTAAAAAATCACTTCGGCTCACAAAGAGCGAATGTCTTGTCGAGAATATCACTAAGATTCATTCTCAAACTGTCTTTTGTCAGTAAGAACGTGGCACGTGTCCTCTAATAAGTAATTTCGTCATCAAATGGAACCAAAGATAAACGGTATGACCGGGACCCTCTGATAGGGTGATTTTTTCACCAAATGACACCATTAAATTGTGATTATGGTCAGAGCCCATATGTTCCCCAATGGCTTCAAATTCTTGAGTAATGAATCAATATGATATGATTAATAGGGCATAAAACCCTCTGTTGGCTAAGGTGGATTCAAAGTTGTCCTTTTAGACAAATATTCACCCTAAGTCTACAAGATGCCCTTAGACAAAGCAACCCATGGTTGTCGATAAGGATCCTTCGGTCATGTTGGGTCGATTACCTTCTCTAACTAAGTAGATTAGTGACAATGATTACTTGGTACGACGAAACTCTGGGATCTTGTTCAGGTTTATCATCATTCCACCCTTCATTCGATTTAAGTATGCGGTGACATAAATTTCAATTTTCAAATACTAAATTCTGTTGCTACTATATGCTAGATACTATGTATTTGTCAGTACTATGTATCTATTCGACGACTAGCCTTAATCGAAGGTTCCCTCTCTTTATTGGGCGAGATAATTAATTATGGGGGCTTGCGTTTATAGGAAACCTGAACTCATATCATAAAGTCCTCGCAAGATGAGGGCAAAATATCTGGGTAATATCTTATTCAAAACCTAATTTGCCTTTTGAAATTTTTCCTCATAACTTACTCATTAAAACTTTCCTCGTTTACCCGAAAAAGAATGGTTGTGGAGAGATCAAGGCTCAAATTTTTGGAGCCCACACTTATGGGATACAATTATAGGAGTGGTGGATCAAAAGGATGAGGTGGATCAGAAGCTGAGATCTTAGCTGGTAGTCCTTTCCACACAGGGTCATAAATCCAGAGGTCGGACTGACTATGCCTCATGTGAGGTGTAGTTTGTAAGTCTCTTACATTCCGTTAAACTTAGGTTTGAGACACTGACCCTTAATAGTCCTCACTTTAATTCTAGGATCTGATGCTGTTGTTGACTTCAGTTGCTTCATATGCCCTCACCTTCTGGGCATTCTCTTCAATATGTGTTGTTGGATTACAAGCCCCAACATTCTTAATTAATTTGTTTAATATAAACAAAAATCTAATGTTAAAATGTAAAGCTCAATATAAAATAGTTTGAGTATCTCTGAGTTGTCTCAGAATCAAGTAATCCTATATTTCATTCATTTGACTTCCAATCTTAGAAATTTGATTTCAAGTTGATTGTTCATCCATTGAAATCACAAAGATAAAATCTTTGAATAAGAATTTCATAAATTTTAAAATGAAAATATTAGCCAATATTTTGATGACTAAAAAAAGAAACCACTTGTGTAATCAAAAGTGTTCTCAAGTAATAAATATTTAAAATATAATTAACCATAGGGACTTGGTCCTATGGGGTATCTATATCTCAGAATAAAATAAACCATATTCAACTAAATATTGAATAAGTGAAGATCTCTATTAAAATTAAAATTGCGAGATTTGTTAGTGAGTCCATAGAGAAATAACATTTTTACCCTTCGGGAAAATATTTTATTTTTTATGTCGTGCTCGATCACAAAATATCTCAATCCGTTGAGGATAACAATTTCTCCCACAATTAATTTTAAATAAGTCGTATCTTGTTCAAATCAATAAATAGGCCTAGGGTTATCGTTGAAGTAGATAGTAAAAAAATGTGTGAGAGATAAATTAGAGATGTTCTTTTACTTCATTTATGAATAAAACAGTTATGTCTCAATTCAGATACATGGGTAAGAAAAACTAATTTAAAGAATTCATTTAGTTCCAATTGTAAGTTCTTGATTGATCACTCATTATAGACTGACAATAAAAAAAAGAAAGCCTTAACTTTGTCAAAAAATTTCAAATTATTGAATATTTTCATCTTCTTTTTTATCTACACTAGTTATTCTATCTTCTTTGGTTAAAATCTAATTGACTGGAAAAGTAAGAAGCAATCATTAGTTACCACATCAAGTGCTAAAGCCAAGTTTCGAGGAATGACCCAAGGAATTTGTGAATTGTTGGGGATCAAAATCATCTTGAGTGACTCAAGAATAAAATGGGAAGATACTATGAGATTATACTGTAATAACAAATCAACCATCAACATTGCTTACAACCCATTCCAGTATCATCAAACCAGACATAGAGAAATCGATCGACACCTTATCACCAGAAAAATTAGAAAGAAAATGGATAGATATATATCTTTGATGTCCATTTAATCAAATAATTTGTTGACATTCAAACTAAAGGACTACCAAGCTCTATGTTCTAGAATATCACCTCCTAATTAGTCATGAAATATATCTACTCAGCAGCTTGAGAAGTGTTTGCAGTTTCTTTCTTGAGGCCAACTTGACAATCCCTGTGATTGCAAGCTCGTGGTCTTCCCTTATGGACAAGGCGGCAATTTGCAGGCTTATAGTGGTAATCACTCAAGATATTGGTGAAATAAATGCTTACAATTTGTAGAATGTCTCCTTTATTTTCATAGATGCAGATATAATTTTATTTTAATAATTGGGTATTATATCCTAGGAATATTGTCATGTAAACACAGTGTAATTAGTTATTTCTTTTGGTAGACATTATCTAGTATAACCTTAAATTCTACTTATAAATCGGAGTACAAGGTTTTCAATAATATACACACATAATTCAAATTATTCTTCATCTTTGCACTTTATTTATATGGCTTGCAAATTTATTTAATTCAAGTATGATTAAAAAAAAAATCTTCATTTTCATTTTCTTCCTCGTTGTCCAGATTTCTACATTACCAATTGTGCTAATAAATTTTTTGCTGTCTAACAGGTTGGATTTATATCGTGGAGGTGGCTTTAAAAGTCTTTACATATGGGTTTAGAACATATTGGATGGAAGGGCAAAACCGTTTTGATTTTGTGATCACATGGATAATAGGTACTGAATAAAAAACTGTTTCTTATTGTCCTTCAGGGAAATCTGGTGGGGACAATTGATTTTATTTCTGCTCCTACTTAAATGTGAATGCTTTGGATTGATTGTTGTTTCTAGTATCCGACACCATTTCTATTGTTATTTTTAAATAACCTCGGTAGGAATTACCTCATTCTGATACTCGACGACAGTGTGAAGGCCTTGTGAATCAAAATAATGGCTGTCTATGCGGGGAATATTACCAGGAAGAAAGGAGAATTATGTTATGCTACTGTACAAACTCGTTATAATTGAAGGATTTTAAATCATAACAAAGAATTATTATTTATCATTCATCATAACATGACATCATACCCTAATAAAAGCTATTTATAGAATAGGTCTAAGATAACGAGTTAACATATTTAAATCACAAATGACTAACATATACCATGAAAAGAAATCACCAGGTGGCTAAAATGAAAGAAAGTGTTTAATAATCATGACAAGTTTATGTCCTCATCAGTTATATTTCATTGGTATAGGCGAGAATCATTTAACCCCTGTTAGTGTCTAGCACTATTTCTCATTGTTATTTGAATTACCTTGACAACAACTGACATTTTAGTTATTCATCTTCTATAAATATATTAATCCCTTTTTCATGCATCACGTGCAGTCACGTGTACACAAGCATGAGCGAAGTTTTGTGATTGGGTAACTGTTTTCATTAGTTTTTTAATTTTCCTTTTCATATCAGATAAAACAATTTGGTAGCTATTTTCATTAGTTTGCTTGTTTTCCTTCTCATTGTATCAGTTTTAATACAACATCATAGAAGTTTTGTACTAGTTCACGTTGAATAAATGATTATTTCAGTGAACTAATATTTGATGATGTAGCCAATTAGGTCTTTCTAGAGTTGTGACGGAACGGTATTTCCCAAGATGATTAGTTATTCGTCTAGTTTTTGTATCTTAGTTGGAAAGTTTTGCAAATTTTTGCTCGCCGTGATGTGAAAGTCTGTGCTTTGAATAAGTGAGAGCTGTTTATCTCCTCAAAATTCTGCTGTGTTCTCTTAGTTAAAATAAGTGCTGGCTTTTTAGTTTTGCATGTTAGAGAAAGTGCAGTTAACTTTGATTTCTCTACATGTGTTTTTTCAGTCATTGGAGAGGCCACGACCTTTTTCTTTTCATCTGAGCTTCCCTTTCTATCAAATGGTGAATGGTGAGATTATTCATTTCAATGACTTCATTCAGTTGCGCTTTTTTTTCTTTTCATTCCTCTAAAGCATACTCACCTTCAACCTGAAATGAATGCAACTGTTCGTAGTTCTTATACCATTAATTTTACTTCTTGGTGTTGTAATTCATTGAAGGTTGCACTTTGTTGAACTGCTTACTGCTTATGTAATAGGCCAATTCTATAGCATATGGTTAAATCAGTTTTACATGTTTTGCAACAACACATAGCTGATGACGTTGTTTTATTTTGTTTTTTATATGTTGTCTATAGTTCATGTCACTGCCAACCCTGGAAAGAATCCGAGAACTATTTCCAGCCATATTTTATACTTGAGCTCCATTCTGCATTTAGAATGAGATGCATTTTGCCCACCCCTTCATATACTGATTTGGATCTTACTGTGCCAAATGAGTTTTGATTTGATATTATTAAGCTACTAAGCTCGAAAATATTTTTTTTTTCTTTTTGTAAAATGAATATAAACAAATTTGCTTCCTTGAAATTTTTGTATTCTCAATTCGTAAAATGGTTCCATAATTGTGAGTCTAGACTCATAATGACATTTAACATGTAGCTCAGAAGCACCTTTTTTTCCTTGTATACAATAAGAGACGGGTTAATTCAGTTCTTTGTTTATGACAGGATTCGCTATCTTCTAATAGGAAGGATGTTGCGCTTGCTAAGGCTCTTGTTGAATGTGCAGCAATACAGAGGATTTGTTGCAACGTTCTTAACTCTTATTCCTAGTTTGATGCCATATCTTGGCATCATTTTTTGTGTGCTTTGTATATATTGCTCTGTTGGCGTACAGGTGATTGATTCTACTCTCGATTAAAACTTTATAATGTAGAAATGAACTTCTAGAAATATCATGCTATTGTAGATCTGAAGAGCATATGTGAGCTTTTTAGAATGACTTATTCTCACATTCTTTCTATCTCTAATCATTAATAAAAGTGAAGCTTTGGTGATTCATGCTATCAATTTGCTTTGTTACAAAAATAAGGTTTATGAATGTGTAATATAAAATCCGCATATTCTGCTTAATAAGATTTGTGTTGAAAATTATTAGTGTAGAATACTGCCTTTGCTTTTTCAGTAGGTAAAATAGATACAATATTTTTAGGTGAAATATATCTAATATTGAAGGAAAAAAATAGGAATATAGTTTAGCATAATCAATAAAAAAGAATTCAAAATTTATTTCACTAGAAAAAATAGTGTTGGCAGTCTGTATATGAAATGCAGGAGGGTGCAAATTGTTGAACCAGGAGACTACATATATAAGGCATGCAGATGAGGATTGTTGAGCTAGAAGATTGTGTGGTTTACTAGCTCTCCATTAAACAGACGAGCAATAGCAAGGTTGGTGGAGCCAACTGGCGTAATTGCAGGGAGAGTATCTAGGCAAGAGTGGCACCAGCTGGCGCTATTGCATGCTGACAATAGCTAGCATTAGCGTGGTTGGCTTCAGGTGGATACCTTGGCGTAGCTTGTCACGATCTGACCTAGAGACTCGAATTAATGAGATGGGACTTGACAATCGGACAGTTAATACAATTTATATAGTTACACATAACAGTAATGGCTAACATTTCACAAAAACAGAAGGTCCACTAACAAATTATTCATTTGTTCATGAACACAAACCAAGTTTTGCATGTTATCATTTGAGCGTCTTCTTTGAAACACAATTTTCTCTTTTAGCCATTTCTACTTATCAGGAGACTTACATGAAAAATTTATTTTAACAATTTGAGTTTATATGATAAACTCAGTTGATAATCACCATTGTAACATAACAATTATATGTATAAAAAAATGCATCATATTCATCTTGTTTTTTTTTTCATTTACATATTTGTGGATATATCAATTCATGTGGTATAAGACTTTATTTTACATCTGTCAAATAATGTAGTCATTTTTCTTTCAATTAACATTCATGCATTTTTCAATTTTCTCATTTATTCTTTTTTCCTTTTCATTTAGTATAGGAGTACCATCTAAGAATTGTACTAGTGAAGGTACAATCATTTTCATTTCCTTTTTCATTTAACGTACACGAGTACGTTGCGTCCCCAACTAGTACCATAAGGGGGTAAACGACTCATATATTTCATGCATGTAGCTTTTCCTTTTATTATTTTCATTTTCATATAAATCATTACTCGTATATATATTACACTATAACTTCAATCATTCAGTCATTCTCAAATTGTTGCATATTTAACCTTTAACTATATCATTCATACAATGATAATTCAATATGACTATAATTCATATTTAAACTTTTTGTTCATTATTTTAGCTATTCATATAATATGAACTAATTGCAATGATTAAAAGGAATTATAATAATATAAAGAAAAGAAATTGTTGACCTTTATATTATGTGCAAATGAGAAAAAAAAATTGTTCTTACCTATTCGGAGGTCTAACGAAGCTGCTTTCACGATGAAATCTTGCGTTATCTACCATTCACATTTCCGACCACGAGCATTGCACGTCGACGCCATCCTTGTTTTGCACGACGCTTCGTGTCCTGCCTCTGTCGTTAAAAATGAGAAGAGAACGAAGCCTTCGGCTTCTTTCATTCTCTCTTCCTCTCGCGACCAACTCGCCTTCTGTACTCAAAGGCTCTCACAATACAGCCCTTCTTTTCCGACCGTCAACTCCAATCGCATATCTAGCCTAGCAGCGACATGTTCCTCCTATATGTTGCTGACACTACCACAAATCGAAGACCGAACTCCAATCGAATTCAACTGCCGAACCTCCTTTCCTCTCTGTCGAAGCCCTAGCTGAAACGCACCTCCTCGGACGCCTCCTTCGACGACTATTCTTTGATGAAACTTACATCCTATAGCCAAGTAGGAGAACTCTAGGAATGCAACATAATACTTCCTTTCAATAAATATAAGCCAACACCAACATAATGAAACTTAGTAGTAAACAGTTATAAGTAAATGATTAGAAAATTATACAAAGAAACAAACTAAAACTTAAAGTTAACTACCCTCATAATAACCTAAAAAGGTCACCTCACATGCAAATCAGGAAAATAGAGAATGGTGCTCAAAGGAAAAATCAAATCAGTGGTTTGCCATAGAAATTATAATCCAGCTCAAGTCGGTGCTCCTCCGACAAATACTAACAAACAGGGCACAACAACACCTTACACTCACAATATTTGGAGAAGAAAGATACAAGTGAAAGGGAAACTGTGGAGAGAAGAAATAGATAGAAGACTGAGTAGAAGAAATAGGTGTATGAAGAAGATAGCTCTCAAGCTAGGAAGAAAACCCTCAGATTTGGATTCGTTTTCACCAACAATGACCTTCCAGCAACAAATCAACCATATTTATAGGAGAAGAAGGCCCAATAGCACACATAGATGTGCCACCCAACTAGCCAATAGAAGCCAATCAATACAACCCCTTTTTGAGAAGATAAAACATTATTCTAGGAATCAACAAGGAGGGAAATGAATGGCCAACAGTAGGGAAATCAAAGCCTGCTTGGAAACTAATAGCCAACCAACATGGGAATCCGAATTTAGCATGGGGAATCAACAACAGGGAATCTGAAATCAACTTGGAAAACCAACAGCCAACGAACAATGAAAGATATGGGCCAAGCCCAATAAGGAAAAAACAACCCAATGATTAAATACTCATTTAGCCACCAAGGAGCAAAGAAACAAATTCAACATAAGTGGAAAGCCAACTGAGAAAAATTACCTAAGAGCATCAAACCCAAGCATGATCTGGGTTGATTTCCATCATAGGGCACATAAAAAAAATATAGTCCAAAATCACATAGCATCCAAAACATAAGAAAATAAAATGCAAAATATAAAATGATAATCCTTGATTGCATCATTCTTCCTGGCCGATCGGAAGTAGCGATGACTATAGGGGCTCGCTCGTTGCGAAGTTAGCCATCCTCATTCCATTCACGCGCTTCTTTCGCCAAGCCCTGTGAATCTAAGGTAAAACCAGGGAAATGAAGGATTTAATTCGCTATGAGATTTAAAATTTTCCTAAATTCTATTTGACAGGCCAACGGGTTAAATCCTGTAAATCCTGCTCATATCCTGTCAAATCTTGTTCAAATCTTGCTCACGTCCCGCTGTTTGACTATTTACTATATTGGGTTGTAATAAGAAAAATAAATTATCATAACTATTCATTTTTCACCAAGCTTCAAGCTAAGCTGGCCAGGCAAGCCCTTCATGATATCTTACTTTTCTCTATGTATTTTTTCTTTTTTCTCTGACAAATCTTGTTCATTACCATTTCTAAATCGTATTATTTGCTTGTTATAAAATTATGCTTAAAAATATAACTTCCTCTTTTTCACCACATTAGGTTTAGTGTAATTGAACTTCATGTAATTGAGCCTTGCGTATTTAATCTTCTTCACAATGCTTTTGGTTGATATTTGTTCTTTGTGCGGCATCAAATATACACCCCAATTACAAGGAAAAAAAAAACAAAACAATATCCTAAGTATCTATGCGTCTTTTTGTGCTATTTATTATATTAGTCATTATTCATAACCAGTGAATTTGTCATCGTTTGAATTACTTAATAGTTGCATCAATATAGGAGTCCTTGCAAAAAAAGCACAAAAATAGATAAATAAAAAATAAATGATTTTCTATGTGCCCATGCCCTTTGTTTATCTGTGGATAAACTAAATATGCACTTTCTCTTTGCTCATTTTCTCACTCCTAATATGATACGGCTTTGAATCCTGATGTCATTTAATTGTATCATCATTGTGATTCCACTGCCACCACATCATCTTTATCCTTCAATGTATAACCTTTTAATTGTTTATGAAAGAAAACTATTTTTTCGCATGAATTATTTGCTTGCTGTAATATTTTGGCAGGAACTAATCAATTTAATTCTTTCCTTCACTTGAGAGTGATATAGTATTAAACTAAATTCTACTTTGATTGATAGCTATTTGGTGGAATTGTAAATGCTGGAAATGCTATACTGGAAACTACTGATCTCTTTCAGGATGAGTATCCTTTTTATTCTGTTTCATTTTTAAACAAAATAAATATGGATAAATCATTCTCTTGGAACATTGGCTGTTCTTCTTAATTGGTTTAGCTATCTGCTTTTCAATTTCAATGATTACGCCAATGGAATGGTTACACTTTTCAATTTGTTAGTCATGGGTAACTGGCAAACGTGGATGCAGGTATGGATTCCAAGTGTAACTTCTTTTTGTTTTTCTTCTTGTTTTTTATTTTTTTTAAATTATGTTATACTTTGTTCTATGATTTATAGCTTTTTTGTCTCATATCAAGTTGATGTAAAAAAATGTAGAAGTACCTCTTTTAAATTAATAAATCTTTTATCTTCCAAGGACAACCATTTAAAGCATAGAGAAGCATGCACTTCAGAAGCGAAACAAATCTTAACTTCATTGTTGAAGCAAAAAATGCTTCAAGAACTTTAGCTATTTATCTTATTGTTCTTTTGTTTGGTTGATTTCTCTCCTTGTTCCTCTTGTTGTAGCTGTAACTGATAACTTTACAGAAGCAGTAAAATAGATTTTGGAGAAGAAGTATTGTAAGTATTCATCATACGTCTCAATACAGAATACAGTAGTGTATATATAGAGTAACCAGTGGAATACAGTAAAGGTTTGTTAGAGTATGGAGTACGATCCTGTTGCATAGGACGTGAGGGAGGAATGTTGGCATGTGCTAGTAACCGTCTGATGGTGGCTGTAGACCTCTTGGTTTGCCTTGCTGTAACATGTCCCGTCAAATTGATGCTGGCAGAGCGGTGATCAGTTTGCCTGAAAGAAGCTTAAACCGAGAGATGGATAAAACTTTGGTGAAGACATCAGCCAGCTGATCCTGAGTACTAATATGATGTACCAGAATATGTTCTTTGTGAATGCAATCCCGAATGAAATGGCAGTCTACTTCGATATGCTTGGTACGGGCATGTAAAACAGGATTATGAGCTAAAGCTATAGCAGACATATTGTCACAATAAACTGTAGTAGGAAGAGCCGGAGCAGCAGAGAAATCAGCAAGTAAACGCCGAAGCCAAATAATTTCAGACGTCGCAACAGCAAGAGCGCGATATTCAGCCTCAGTTGAAGAGCGAGCGACAGTTTGCTACTTTTTAACCTGCCAGGAAATCAAGGACTAGCCTAAGAAATGACAGTTACCGGAGATTGACTTACAATCAGAAGAATCACCAGCCCAATCAGAATCTGTATAGCTATGTAAGGTAAGTGAATCTCGATGCATCGGTAACCCATGATTAAGTGTTCCTTGAATATAACGCGGAAGCCGCTTAAGGAAATCAAAGTGGCTGTTAAGCGGTTTATGCATATGTAGGCAAACCTGCTGAACTGAGAAGGCAATGTCTGGACGAGTAAGTGTCAAGCACTGTAAGGAGACCGCCAATTGTCGGTAGAGTGCAGGATTTGCAAATTCACCAGAATTTGTATTGGACAGCAGCTTTTTAGGAGAGATGGGAGTAGAAACAGGCTTACAATTATGCATACCTGCTCTAAGTAGAATAGTTTGAGCATATTGAGCTTGATTTAAGTGAACACCATATGCTGTTTGATTCACTTGAATGCCAAAATGAGAGAGTGAACCAAGATTCCACATAGAGAACTTACTGTGAAGAGCAGTAAGGAGACGATTTATTGTAGGCTGATCATTACCAGTTAATAGAATATTGTCTACATATATAAGAATGTAGAGAAACATAGAATCAGAATGATAGGTAAGCAGTGACAGGTCAGCCATACTGAACTTAAATCCAAACTGCTGTAAATGTTTTGACAAGGTGGCATACCATTGGCGAGGAGACTGTTTGAAGCCGTAGATAGCTTTCTTGAGCCGGCACACATGAAGTGGATGAAGAACACTGAAATCGGGAGGTTGTTTCATAAAAACAGTCCGTTAAATGCCCATGAAGAATAGCATTAGATATATCCAAATGAAGAACCGGCCACTGGTGATGAAGTGCCACAAGAATAAACACCCGCATAGTAGGCATTTTTGCAACTGGACTAAACGTCTCATGATAATCAAAGCCGTGTTCTTGATTAAAGCCTTGAGCTACAAGGCGAGCTTTGTAGCGGACAATAGAACCATCCGAGTTTAATTTAGTACGATAAACCCATTTGCAACCAAGAACATTTTGTTTAGGAGATGCTGTAACTAGATCCCAGGTACCTTGGGATTGAAGAGCCTGAAATTCCTATGACATTGCCCGACGCCAATGATCAAGTTTGGAAGCTTGAAGATAAGATGTAGGATCACTGGATGGTAAATCATGAAATAGATTAAAAATCTGTTTGGGTTTCGTAATACCACTTTTCAATCTTGTCACCATGGGATGAGACGAAACACCAGCTGGCTGAATAGTTGTAGTGGGAGAAGACTCCAAGAGCACTGGTGATGAAACAATCATAGAATCACTTCTGTTTACTGGAATTGGTGGATGATAGACTGATTTGGACAAGGCTGGTGGAGTAGAAGAGAATGCTTTAGGTAAGGCAGAGGCTGGAACAAGTATAAGTGGAGGAGGAAAGTGAGTTTCAAGTGAAACAGAGGGAACAACATATAATTGAGGAACAACATATAATTGAGGAAAGGGATAAACATATTCATTAAAAACAACATGACGAGAAGTAAAGACTGTATGAGTAAAGGGATCAAAACAATGATAACCTTTTTTGATTTATAGGATAACCAAGGAAAACACATGGACAAGACATAGGAGAAAGTTTATTGGAGCTGTAGGGACGAAGCCAAGGATAACGAAGACATCCGAACACACGAATGTGATCATATGTGGGAGCTTTATTATAGAGAAGCTCATATGGGGAAAGAGATTGAGTATTTGATGAAGGAGAAGATTTATAAGATACACTATGGTAACTAAAGCATCAACCCAAAAGGTTTGAGGTAAATGAGCTTCAATAAGAATTGAACGTAACATTTCAACAATGTGACGATGTTTACGTTCAGCAACTCCATTTTGAGGAGTATAAGGACAAGTGAATTGATGAAGAATGCCACAATTTCGGAGAAAAGTAGTGAAAACCGTGTTAACGTACTCACCACCACCATCGGTTCTTAATATTTTTATGGAGGCACTAAATTGGCATTCAATCATCTTTTTAAACTCAATAAATTTGGAGAAAGCATCTGATTTCTTCAGCAAAGGATAAACCCACATAAAGCGAGTAAAATCATCTATAAATGAAATGTAATAACGAAAGCCAGACTTGGAAGGCAACGGGGCTGGACCCTAAACATCCGAATGGATGATATGAAAACGAGTATTACATTGAGATATAGATCTAGGAAATGGCAATCGGTGGCTTTTTGCTAACTGACATGCATTAAATGAAACAGAATTGGAAATACAAATAACAGAAGTAGTTCTAGCTAAATGAGATAGCGTGGAAGCTGACGGATGGCCCAAACGGCGATGCTAAAGATCCGGAACAGCTTGGACGGAGAGGAGCGCGAGATGACCAGTAGACGACATAGTGGTTTTCTGAATGCAAAGAGGATAAAGTCCGTTAATATACGGACCTTGAAGAAGAGGCTGCTAAGTCTTTTGATCCTTAATGATGTAACCAGTAGACGAAAAAGACACATCACACGAATTATCAAGGGTAAGACGATGAACTGAAAGTAGGTTAAAGGAAAGATTTGGAACATGGTGAAGTTTAGAAAGTTGCAGAGTACTTGCAGGGGTCGGAAGAAGCCCGTTACCGGTATTTTGGATAGGAAGTTGTTGTCCATTTCCCATGATGACTTGACTGGAGCCAGTATAAGGTTGAGAGGCTTGAATGTAGCTAGGATCCGACGTGAGATGAGAAGAGGCTCCACTATCCAGGTACCAGTCAGGCGAATTGAGAGCAGTATCCGGCGTGAACAGAGTAGATGACTGGTCTGTGTTGTATTGAGTGTCATGGCGGTACCAACACTTGATAGCCGAATGTCCCAATTTGCCACATATTTGACAGGTTATAGAAAGCCTTGTGGTTCGTCCACCACGAGGTGAAGAAGCAGATGGTTGTGGATTTTTGGAACCGGAGGAAGATCGTCCACGAAATGAATTTGAGCGTCCGCGACCCTGCGCTCTTTGTGCAACAAGTACGACAGATTGTCCTGTCAACTGAAGAGAGTTGAGATCACGGGTAACCTCATGGGCCAAGTTGAGTTCCTCACTACACAACAAGGTGTAGAGATCGGCCAACGACAATGGTTGGAGATTTGTTCTAATTGCAGTTTTAAAGGCCTGATACGACGCTGGAAGACCATTTAAGGTTATGATGGATAATATCCTCAGAATCAATAGGAGCACCAGCTACCGCAAGAGAATCCACTTTGGATTTAATTGTGAGAAGATACTGAGCCATAGTTTGATCTTTCATAGTGCAATGATATAATTCATTTTTCAGCTGACTGATTCTGGAACGGGTTGATGACTGAAGCCTCCGAGCAATGGTTGTCTAAATATCCGCACAGTGATCCAACGACAATACATACGGAAGCAGTGGTGATGAAATGACAAAGTATAATGTAGCCGCTATGTTTTGATCGATCAAAACCCAGGTAGCGTACTGAGGATTAAGAGTAGATAAGCCAACAGCATTGAAAATATTTTTAGCGGGACAAAGAGACGAACCATCTAAGAACCCTTCAAAGCCATTTGCACGAAAAAGTTTAAGAACTTGAGATCTCCAGGTGGGTTGATTCTCAGCAGTCAGTGGAGTTGCAACAATGTTCTTGACATTTGCCATCAAGAATTTAAGTTGCGCAGGAATCGGAGTGCTGTCTATTTGTGAGATAGAGTTGCCGGATGTAGCCGATTCAAGAGACGACGATACAGTGGAAGAACTCATGATCAAACAGAGAAGGAAAGAGAGAGAGCAGAAAGACTTAAAGAAAAACTTGCTCGATACCATGATAACTTTACAGAAGCAGTAAAACAGAGTTTGGAGAAGAAGTATTGTAAGTATTCATCATACGTCTCAATACAGAATACAGTAGTGTATATATAGAGTAACTAGTGGAATACAGCAAATGTTTGTTAGAGTATGGAGTACGGTCCTGTTGCATAGCACGTGAGGGAGGAATGTTGACATGTGCTAGTAACCGTCTGATGGTGGCTGTAGACCTCTCGGTTTGCCTTGCTGTAACA